GCAGTACTGAAATGCAACTCGGTTCTCATGGCTTTTTGTAAACTTTGTCAAAATTGAGTCACAAAGCGAGTATCTCAATCTGACACGATTGATAACGATACCCCATGTAATCTTACAATCTCCCATATATAAAGTTAACTTAACATAGCTAGAGTATCAGTATTCTTCATAGCTAAGAAATAAGCTGATTTGGCGAGTCGATCCTATAACCCATACAACATTGTATCCCTTGGTAGTTCTGGGCAATCCAATCACAAAATTCATAGTGATATGATCTCATTTCTACTCTGGAATAGGTAAGAATTGTAATAATCCATCAGGATCTGATGCTCTACTTTTACTTGCTGACATATGGCACATAAGCTATAAATTTAGTCACATCCTTCTTCATTTTTTTCCACCGATATTGGTGTTTCATATCTTGATACATTTTTGTGCTGCCAAGATGTATGGAAAACTTAGAGCGATGGCATTCCCTGAGTATCTCTTCTTTCAACTGAGCATTATCAAGTACACACAGTCTTCCTTGATATAGTAATTCCCCTTTTGCTATCACCAATTCTCAAGAGTGTTCTCATCTTCCAGTTGGGTGCGGATGGATTCTAGGTAGGAATTCAAACGTTGCAATTCAACAACTTTTTGTCAGAGGATTGGTTGAGCAACAAGATTAAACAAACCTGGTTGACCTTCTTCACCCATCCAAATGCCACAGTCTTCTACTGTCTTCCTCAACTGTCATTTGTCCTTCATCATGTTAATTACTGCACTTCAAAATTTTCTGCTCAATACATCAGCTACCATGTTAGCTTTTATTGAAATGTGAAGTCGTAATCCTCGAGATACTCTATCCAACATCGTCGTTGTCAGAGATTCAAGTCTTTTTGAGTGAATATATACTTGAAACTTTTGCGATTCAATATAATTAAGGTTTATTTTTTTAAATATATATATATATATATATATATATACACACATACATAAATAATAAGTTTTTTTTGAACAAATGGACCTCAAATATACTCTTCGCGTGAAAAACGAGTCAAATGACTATAATTTAGGTCAAATATTGTAATAATATAATGAATAAATATATCTATAAATATACATATATATATATGAGTTAAAGAACAAGCGTTCTATCACTTAACTGCAAGATTTAAAACGTGCCAAAAGAAAAAGAGAAGTATGGCAAACAAGTGGATAGCTGTCCACATGAGGTTAGCAAGGTGCATCATCTATGACGCAAAGGGGGCCAAGACTTTGGCTATAAATAGCCTGTCTTGGCCACTTGAACGACATAGCGAAGAAAGAAAAAATAGAAAGAGAGAAAAAAGGGGGGAAAAAAAAGAGAAATTTATGAGATTTTGGGGTCAAAAATTAAATATTGAATTTTACTTTCGACCAATACCAAATTGGAGCGTCTTGTTCAGGGTACTTCAAATTTCTTATCTATTGAAGTTATTAATGATTTTGATGTACAAAGCAGTATACAATATGCTCGTTTTTTAAAATTTCTTTGCAAACAGTGTCCTTTGATTATCTGAAATTTGTACAAAATATTTTGGGTTAAATATTTTGGGATTGATTAGTACATGTAGAAAATGTACTTGGAACACAATTGGTAAAATATGATTATGAACCTGCGGTGTGCGATGTGATTACAGCCTTGCGGAGTGATATTAGTTATTATGAGTATNTCCTATTGATTATTTTGATTGATAGGAAATTCTGCCAATTTTATTGGTTGACCTATATTTTGGGTTAAATATTTTGGGATTGATTAGTACATGTATAAAATGTACTTGGAACACAATTGTTAAAATATGATTATGGCCCTGCGGTGTGCGATGTGATTACAGCCTTGCGGAGTGATATTAGTTATTATGAGTATNATTATTATTTATGTATGTGTATATATTTATGTATGTGTATATATATATATATATTAAAAAAATAAACCTCAATTATATAGAATCATATTGATAATTAATATATATATATATGGGTCGTCACAATCTACCTCCNATGAATTTATATGATCAAGTATCACTTGGCATGTCACCGAGAAGAATCGAGTATGAGACTATGCTTAATAACAGTTGAGCCATATGCCCTGTCGAATGTAATTCTTGATTTCGTTACCTATGATTCTTATCATCAAAATTAATTTGTATTTTGTCATTTATATTTTTCTCATTTAGCATATTGTTATGACGATTCGTATATAAATTAATCATTAACACGTTAATTAAGTCATCAATTATGATTCTATATAATTAAAATGAATAAATGAACCTCAAATATGAACTCTTCANCCCCTTAAAAAGAATTTCGTCCTCGAAATTCGATAGTAACCTTAGAGAGTTAAAAAGATAAGGATATCTTGTACATATATATGCTTCCAGTTCCCACGTGGCTCCTTTAATACCATAATGTAGCCATAGCACGTTTACAAGTGAAACAACTTTATTATGTAATACTTGCTCCTTTGTATCAAGAATTTGCACAAGTTGCTCTTTGTACGTTCCATTTTCTCGAATTCGAACATCCTTCCAATCAATAATGTTAGACGCATCTGGCTCACATTTCTTTATCATGGATACATGAAACACATCATGTATTCCTGATAACTTAGCTGACAAGTTAANCACGTGAAAACGAGTCGAATGACTACAATATAGGTAAAATTTCGTAATGGTCATAATGTCTGAATAGTATAATAGATGAATAACATGTGTCTCATGTGATATATATCTATAAGTAATACTTCTAGATGACAAGTGTCTATGAAAAGGAATGGCTAAATTAAAANTATGTGAAAACGAGCCGAATGACTACAATATAGGTAAAATTTCGTAATGGTCATAATGTCTGAATAGTATAATAGATGAATAACATGTGTCTCATGTGATATATATCTATAAGTAATACTTCTAGATGACAAGTGTCTATGAAAAGGAATGGCTAAATTAAAAACGTGCAAATAAGAAAAAAAAAAAGAGAGAGAGAGAGATGTGGACAAGATGATGTACAAATGTCAATGATATCATAAGGAGAATACCTCACAAGAAATGTGAGGAGCCTCGCTTTGGGCTATAAATAGCTCACTTCGACAGTCAGCAAAGGCAGGAGAAATAAAGGGAAGAAAAAAAAAGGAGAGAAATTTATGAGATTTTGGGGTTAAAAATTAAATAGTAAATTTTACTTTCAATCATTACCAAATTGAAATATCTTGTTCGGGGTACTTCAAATTTCTTATCTATTGAAGTTATTAATAATTTTGGGATACGAGATAGTATAAAATATTCTCCTATCTTTTAAATCTCTTTGCAAAGAGTGTTCTTTGATTATCTGAAATTTGTATTCCTATTGATTATTCTAATTAATACGAAATTCTCCCAATTTTATCGTCTGACTTATACGTTGGGGTAAATACTTAGGAATTAATTGACACATATACAAAGTGTACTTGAAGCATAATTGGTGAAATATGATTATAAGTTTATATGCTTAAGTATCACTTGTCATATTACCAAAAGGAACCGAGTATAAGGCTATGTTTGATAGCAGTTGAGTTATGTGGCCTGTCGAACGTGATTCTTAACTTCGTTATCTATGATTCTTATCATATGAATTATTTAGTATTTGGTCATTCATATTTTTCTCGTTGAGCGTATTGTTTCCTATCATATTGTATACTTTCCCGTCTTAAATATTTTTTTCAGGATAATCTCGGAGGGAATGATCAAAGTTGATATTTGAGAAATCGAAGATAGTCAAATCTTGATATAATTTTTAACTTTTATTAGAATTTGGAGATCAAAATTGTGATTATAAATTTATTGAGGCAATTAGAGCTCTGTCCCTATATTCGGAGAAATTTGTGGTTTATTAAGGCAACAAGTTGTTTGCACAACTTGGTACAATAGTTTGAGAGCATATACTAAGTTTTAATGATAGAAAGAACAAAATTCTAGATCTGATTATGGGGTTATAATTGCAAAAAAATAGGAAGAAAAAAAAACAAAGAATCATTCCTAAGGTTCCTTAGACATCACACCGAGGGTTTGATGAATTGCATCACCCAATCCCATAGCATATAATTGTTGAAAAATTTTGGTAAATATTTCTATCTCTTTTATTGAAAATATCATTAACTATCTATAGAGCTCTAAATACTCTAAATCCTAAAAAAATTAGGATTCCAAAAATATCCTTTACCCTNACCCAATCCCATAGCATATAATTGTTGAAAAATTTTGGTAAATATTTCTATCTCTTTTATTGAAAATATCATTAACTATCTATATAGCTCTAAATACTCTAAATCCTAAAAAAATTAGGATTCCAAAAATATCCTTTACCCTAAAAATATAAAACAGTCACATAAATTACTAAATACGAGCAAATTAACTTGAAGTAATTAAAAATAAGACACAAATAAAACTATACAAGGTTCCATATAAGTCTGTCTTGGTGGCAAACCAAATTTCATAGTCTTTCATATGTCTTTGAATTTGTCTCTTCTTGAGCATCTTATGGATTGCATCAGTAACTTACACTACAAAAAAGCTAAGAAATAATTTCAACAGATGTTCCATAACTCCGTCTCATACCATTAATCTATAAATAGCATTGGATACCTCTAAGTCATGTTTGAATTCCAGACTCTGAAACATATACTCTTGTGTATATTTAACATATTAAGCAGCACTTGCACATAAGCCATAGAGTTTAGAAACAGATAAAAAGTACATGACATGACACCCCCCCCCGGCGGATATGAACTTTTAAATGACTAAGACATACAACAAATAACGTCGAGAATGGGANAACATGACCCCCCCCCGGGCGGATATGAACTTTTAAATGACTAAGACATACAACAAATAACGTCGAGAATGGGAGAGAGGGATATTCTATCTTTTCCGACTCTCGCCAACAAATTCTTTTCTTTTCTTTTTTTTTGAACCAGACGCAACAAATTCTCAAACGTGCTATTAACGGAACACAAAATACCTGCTGTTGGGTATAGCTGGGATTCCATTGCTGTCCTTGGGGCCAAGCTTGAGGTTGTAAACCATAACCTGCTGGCCATTGGTTTGGTGCATTTGGATACACACCCATCACTGATGGGGCAGATGTCGCATCAACAGATTTAGGTANACGTTCTATTAACGGAACACAAAATACCTGCTGTTGGGTATAGCTGGGATTCCATTGCTGTCCTTGGGGCCAAGCTTGAGGTTGTAAACCATAACCTGCTGGCCATTGGTTTGGTGCATTTGGATACACACCCATCACTGATGGGGCAGATGTCGCATCAACAGATTTAGGTAACTTAGAATTGTCTGAGGCTAGAAAATCCTCCGCGTGACGCTTCTTTGACTCTGATGTGCTCTTGTGGTGTAAGAAGAGCTTGGTATGCCGATCACCGGCCTTCTTAATGGATTGTGCATCCCCAAAGAGGTCCAAAAACTGCAAAACCAATTGTCAGCACTATAATTCATTCAGAACCACAACCAAAACAATCAAGTGCTCAGAAAGCAGAAGGGAAAAAACTCCGCACCATTGAAAACACCTCACAGGAGCAACGTCAAAATATTCGCAAGCATCAAACACTTAAAAAAAGGGAAAATAATCCAGGCAGTAAGCAAGAATGGGAAATAAGTAACATGCATATAAGATCAAGACTGCCAAGTTTAAATCCAACCCAAGTGTTAGAAAGATTTAAAGCACAAAATTAGTTCCACAGAAAAAAGGAAAAAGGAGAGGGATATCCTCACCTCCAAAAAAATGCTAGATAGATCTTCTTTTTCAGTGATACTTGCAGCATTTGGGTAATCAATATTAGGAACAATGAACCTCTCAACCAGTGTATCTATATAATCAATTCGTTTTGGATGTGACTGAATTGATTCTAAATGGATCAATGCCTGCAGACAAATACAACTAATAAGGGCAAATTGGTAAAGGTAAAATCAGAGGAGACTAATGCATGTATGTGCGTGTGCGTGTGTGTGTGTGTGTGTGTGTGTGTGTGTGTGAGAGAGAGAGAGAGAGAGAGAACCTCCAGAAGTAGTTTTGAAAATTGAACAATCTCAAGCGCCTGCTCAAGAATTTCCCTAGCTTTCTCCACCTTCCCAGAACCCTACCAACAAAGACATGTGACAAGATGCATACAATCACCAACAAAATAAATCAAACTAATTATGCACCCACAAGGTGTCAATCATGGAAGGCTTGTAGAAATCCCGATGCTTCTTGAATGAACATAAGAATATGTTTGTAAGGATCGGTTTAGAAAAATCATAACAAGCATTCATGGATCCAAAAAGAGTGTACATTTTGTCATACTATAACTGATAGTGATCGTAAACAGATTGGATAAACATAAAATTTAAGATTAGACTTAATTTATTATTGGGTTAAATGCAAAAAAAACAATGTACTTAGGGTCATTTACACATTACCCCCTCGTAGTTTTAACTAATGAACTAAACCCCCCTCAACTTAAAAATAAAATGAAAAATTGGATGGACATTACTAATTTAACGGAGCGTGTCATACACGCGCTAAAAAATGCAAGTGAAGATAAAATGTATAAAAATTATAATGTATAATTCCTAAAATACCCTCAAGCCACTACCTCCCCAACCCAACGTCTTCATTCCTCTATTCTCTACGCCTCCACAGACTAGCATCTCTCTCTCACACACAAACACACAGCCTCTTCAAACTCTCTCCCCCTTCCCCTCCGAAACCCACCACCTACAACACCCCTCCCCGGCACTCCCCAAGCCGAGCCCACCCCCACCAGAATTCCCACCTTGCTGAAACTCTCAGCTTTGTAAACCAACATAAACAAAATCCCAAACAAAAAATTGCTACCCCACATGGACTGAAGATTCAACCAGAACCAAATCAAGGGACAAAAAACCAGAAACAAAAAATCCCAATGAGGCCAATAGAGAATCAGAATATAAGAAACAACATATACCCAGATTGTGAAAAGCAAAATTCCACATTCGGATCAACAAAACTGAGAACCCAACAAGAATCATACAATTGAAGAACAAAAGCATAACCAGATAATGATTTCAGCTACAATCCGCCCCATGATTTTTCATCTTCCAAACACAACACAAATCAACAAATTCCAACATGTCCCAGTAACTATAACACACCCATAGAACGATCTGACCAACAAAACATAATCCAATCGACAAAACCATACAACCCAAAAAGAAAATTACATCATTAGAAATGAAGAAGTAAACATACCCAGATGATTCTTTCAAAATCTAATCTTTGACTGATTCTTTGTTGATCTTACCAAATAAAATCCAATAAATTAGGATTCCGCAATCATGAATGTGAGGTAGGGGAGTTTAAGTGGGTGGGTTTCAGTGAGGAAGGGAGAGAGGGTTTGTAGAGAGAAAAAAAGAAAAGTATACTGAGAGAAAGGCATGAGGTAGAAGAAGGCTATTGGAATGAAAATTAAATAGCCAAATGAGGGTATTTTTGAATTTTTACAAATTATGTAACGTCCATCCAATGTGGCACTTTATTTTTAAGTTGAGAGGGGTCTTAATACAATAGTTAAAACTATGAGGTTATATGTAAATGACCCTAAGTACATTATTTTTTGTTTGCATTTAACCCTTTATTATTAGATTATAGATTATTTGGTTAGCTAATAATCATCTCATTAGTAGATTTACATAGAGCTTTAGCCGGAGAGTACTTTTTATTTGGGTAGGACACTTGTCCTATAAACAATGGTGTAATCCCAATTATTTGAATTAGATTTATAAATATAAATTGATTATTTTCTCTGAGAAGATTTTTATTTCTTAACTGATCCCTTGCGAGGATGCAGTTTATCTCCCCTTCTTCTCTTCTTTTTCTATTCTCTGATTTCTATTCCTCCCCTCTGCATCAATTGGTAATAGAGCCTAACTTTGATCCCCATATCGCTCAACTGAACAGTAATTTTTATCATTGTTCATTGGCTTTCCCTTCGTTTCATTAAAGTTATCGGAGTTTTGTGGCCACTTCGCCAAGCCATCACAGTTTCGTCCTACTTCATCAACTCGTCACTAAAGCCATCATCTAACTCATTCTTTGGTCTAAGGTTTNCGCGCTCAACTGAACAGTAATTTTTATCATTGTTCATTGGCTTTCCCTTCGTTTCATTAAAATTATCGGAGTTTTGTGGCCACTTCGCCAAGCCATCACAGTTTCGTCGTACTTCATCAACTCGTCACTAAAGCCATCATCTAACTCATTCTTTGGTCTAAGGTTTGTTGTGCGAACCAACCATAATCAAGGAGCCTACTTTTTATGGAAGACCTTGTTGAGGGTTTTCAAGGCAGGGACCCCACCTTGATTTTTAAAGTCATTCTCGTTAATAAACTTGATTCTGGTGCTTAAAAGGATTGGACTCCAGTCTTTTAAGATCTTGGCCCGATCTCCTTATCTTTGACCCAAATCCAACCAAAAATCGACCCAATCTCTTATTAACCTAGCCCAATCGTACCTAATCCACCCCCTAACACCTCTAAAATTACAATTCAGCCCCTTAAAAGTTTATGAAATTACACTTCAACCCCAAAAGTTTCAAAAAAATTATAGTTTAGCTCTAAAAGTTTTTTAAATATAGTTTTATCCTAGAAGTTTATAAAATTACAAATTGACGTCAGAATATTTAGAAATTCCTTAAAATTCTCTTCCATCAAGATGGTCTCCAATATCGAGTTAAATACCAGAGTACTAACTTTATTCCAAGAACATGTTAATGCGCAAGAAGCATTGAATAATAGACTAAATACAATTCATGCATCCATCGATTTACTAAGAAAACTTGTGCTAGTTGCAGTCCGTGGAACTAAGACAAGTGAAAATTTTAATTTTGTCTCTTCAACTATCAATCAACAACTGGTTGAACATAGCCCTCCAATTCTACCACAAGCTCCACCACTACAAGTTTCAGTCCAACTAAATAATGACGACATTCTTATTGATGAATTAAACAAATTCCAAAAAGTGTCACTGTAGATGGAGTTGCTACTTTGTCTCCATCGGTTTATATGCTTCCTTCACCTAAATTGGTGTATGTAGACTACAAAGCATCAAGACATTGTTTTCTAGACTATTTTGTTGGAATGCAGGCTTATTCAGATCTCTTGGAGTTCTTCTACCTTTACAACTCTTTGGAGAAGATTTTGTTTCAGCAAGGGAGAATTGATAGAGATCGTAAAGAGACTAAATAGACATAAAATTGAAGATTAGATTTAATTTATTATTAGATTAGATTATTTTGTTAGCTAATAATCATCTCATTAGGAGATTTAGATAGAATTTTAGCTAGAGAGTACTTTTTATTTGGGTAGAACACTTGTCCTATAAATAATGGTGTAATCTCAATTATTTAAATTATAGTTATGAATATGAATTGATTAATTTCTTTGCCGAGATTTGTGTTTCTTGATCAATTCCTTGCGAGAATGAGGTAAACCTCACATTCTTCTCTTCTTTTTCTATTCTCGGATTTCTATTCCTCCATTCTCTGCATCAATAACCTATGAAGCAAAAAATTGTCGGGTAGAGCTACAAAGTGTTTTTAACAAGCCACAAATAAAATCTGGGATCAATAAAAAAGAGATTTCACTTAAATAAAAAGCAGCACACCAATACACCTCAAAATAAAAAATAATGGTATCACTCACAAGAAGGCGAGACAACTCGGCCATTATGGCATTAACTTGACTAAGCAAGTATGGCACATAGTCATCCGAATAACAAGGACAGTCCTAAACTTGTTTCAAAATGAAACCCATCCTAGCAAAGACAAATAGCAAAGAGATAACAAGAGTTGTAACCAGTTCCCAAAAGAATAAAGATAAAGCCTAATGCATTATTAAAAATAGTTAGCAGATCATTTTTGTAATTCTAATGAACTCTTAGGGTTTGCCAGAGTCGCAAGGGTGACACGCCTGAGAAGGCCAAAATTGTAAAATCTTTTGAGTCGTTGCCCAAGGCTTTGGCTCCAAATGTGTCTGCTATTTCCCTCTATCTAAGGGGTTTCTCCCCTTTTTTTTTCCTCTCCTCCCCTACTCTCCTTGAGGATCCAAAGCTCCAACTGGTCTCTAGGATTTCCCTCACTTCTTCCTTGTCTCGAGGCCTCTCAATTTCTTATCAAATTTATCCAATAAAACATCTTATATGACCAGTTTAAATTACTTTTTTTAGCTGACTTCTACATTTTTGAATTTTGGGATGAAAACTAATGCTGTCATGCACAGATTCATTAGTACAATGTAGCCACTGGAAAAGCTAACATAAATATCCAAGAACAACAAAGTGAAATGAGAAGAAAAAAAAAATATTCTTGACATTTTACAGATTTAGAAAAAGAGATGATCCTAACATCCAAATGAAAAAATATATCTACATGCTTCAACAAAGTTGATTGAAATGTTTCAAATAAATGCTAACCATAGTGGCATTTATCAACCTGCCAGCAGCATAAATAATCAAGGCAGATTTGCCAAACCAAATGGCACGTTGCAAATGGCAGGGAAACAATTACAGCAGTACTTTGACATTACCAAAAGAAAGGCTACCATAAATCTGAAAGCCTTTCAAAATACATTTCCAAATCTTGATTGATAATGATTTAGTTCATGAAGCTAACACCGAGCAAACATGATTGGGGCTTGCCTTTACTAGGGCAGATTATAGATTGTATCCACAAATTTACAGACCCTTTAGGTCTCAATTTCCAAGGGAAAAGCAAAATTTTATTTTTCACTTTAATTGGCAGGTAAACTTTATCTTTTGAAAGTCGTGAGATAGTCAAAAAAGTTGAGCAGCTGAACCCAAACATGGACAAAATCAAACAACTGCATACCACGCCCAAAAGGAGCAGTAGATATATCGCAAAAGGGAAATTAAAAATCAAGAGCAACACATACCAAGTATAAAAACCTAGAATATTGAGCAAACAACAGCGGCAAGGTTGGTGAATATTCTTTTCCTTTCTCAATTGCAATGGCCTGTTTGTATAAACAACAAGCATCTTCCAGATTTCCCTGTGAAATCAGTAGAAAACCACCAATCAAAATAAGCAATACTAGCATCAAAGGCAATCAACAATAGAGCTTGAATAGTCTTACTAGCCGATGTTCCATGTTTGCATGCTTAATAATTGCTTCTAAAAGACCAGGTGAAATTTCAGTATGCAAAAGTTGATAGGCAGTTCGAGCTCCCGGAATGTCCCCATGCTGGTCTCTAAATCGAGCAGCAAAAAGGTGAATCTCCGGTGATTTCTGTGCACATGACAACGATTCAGACCGAAGTAGATCACACCAAACGGTAACTTGATCCACGAAAGGAATCCATGCTCTGACTTTAAACAAACTCACAATGCATAAAGATTAACAAAACCATTCTAATGGACTTCAGAGCAAATGTAAGCAAATAATTAGTGTTATTGCAGCATTAACTTTTTCTGGTATAAGCAACTCATCTCACGTGCACATGCACAGGTATTAATGAAGAAAGGCACCACAATAATTTTTCTGATACCACCACATTTTTTTGTAAGCAAACAAGTAATCACCACAGAAAAATACTAATCTTCCAGCAGAGTGCACAAGGTCAATCAATAGAGAAAGAAATGCATATTGTAACCATATACGAACAAAGTCATCTACATGGACATGTGTTCAGAGCAAACAAGATGAAATCATTTCCCTCAAAAAGCAAATCTTGATGTGCTGAACAGTAGATGCTTGTGCACAAGACGGCACACATCCATACATACAACAAAGTGAAAAACATAGGCACCGCTAAAATCTCCTTTATAGTGATACATTTTCCATTGCTACTTCCAAAGCCAATTAGAGAGAACTCCATCAAAAGGAAAACTTGCCCCAAATACACAGGGATTTCCATTTCACACTCTAGTTTTGCAGCATCTGCAAATTTTTTTAACCGAATTAGAAAAGTTGCTGAAAATGTAACAAACTCTGGAATTTCTCTGCATCTTTGTTAGCACCATCATCACTCAATTAAAGGGTTAAACGACGACTTGATATTACTTTGCCATAACACGGTCGGTTATGCTCTGACAAAACTAATATTTTTTTGGATTTTGGAAATATTCCAGCAAGAAATGGTGCTATACAACAGTCTGGATATACAGTTGTATTACATTGATCAATGGCAAACTTGCACAGTTAATTGAATAACAGAAGATCAATTACCTTTTGAGAATTATTAAAAAGTCAAAACCATAATATAAAAGCAGAATCCCATACCTTGACAAATACTTGAGTAGCACGAGTAAGTGCATTGTCTGCAAGGTCCATACTACCAGTAGCTTCCATGCATAATATGTATCGTATCCAGTATTCAGGATAATTGGCACAAGCAATTAGGCATCTTTCATATAGCTTGACAACCTGGTGCATGCAAATAACATCAAGGATTACTAAATTCTAGTAACATGTCACATGGACTGAAAAACAATTGAAAAAAAATCACTAGGAGAAACGCATAAGAAATACTCCATTGGTGGAACACGGAGGCCCCNATAGCTTGACAACCTGGTGCATGCAAATAACATCAAGGATTACTAAATTCTAGTAACATGTCACATGGACTGAAAAACAATTGAACAAAAATCACTAGGAGAAACGCATAAGAAATACTCCATTGGTGGAACACGGAGGCCCCCCTCAAATACGAAAGGAGGGACCCTCCTTGCAGAGGGTTAGGAAGATAACACACCTGCATACATAACATTGGAACTTCAAACAAATATTTTGCCATACAACACATCATGAACCCAGAATGTCGACTCAAAATGAGGGTTTGAAGTACTTAGCCTTACAGAAAGCAAATCGAAGGCCCATGCTCTAGTCCAAGTTCAATATCCCGTTTTAAAAGATGCTTCATCCAACGGATTAGCCAATAAAGCATATGATGCGGCAGGTAATACTTAACTGTAAGTCAACATATAACAAGGACCACTAAAACTACAAACCAAGCGAAATTCAAATGTGGGTAGAATTAATAAACGCAAATACCTTATTGAAATCACCTTCTCCCTCAATGACATCAAGATAGTTATGCCAATTTTCAAGCTCGGCGACATTGAGGGGCCGCACATGAAANTAGAATTAATAAACGCAAATACCTTATTGAAATCACCTTCTCCCTCAATGAAATCAAGATAGTTATGCCAATTTTCAAGCTCGGCGACATTGAGGGGCCGCACATGAAAGTACGGCCTCCTGATAGCTGTTTCAAAACCAATGATCTTAGAATTGAACTCTGTAGCTTTCGTATACAACTCTTCTCTAACGGCGATATACTTCTCCAACTCCTCGGCTTCTTTTAAGCTGTCACTTACAGGTTTAGGAGATTGCTCAGAAGCATTAGGATGAACCTCTCCCTCAATTTTTGGCCCCCCAGCTTCTGAATTTGCTGCATCCTCAGCAGCAGGTTCCTCAACAGTCCTCAACTCTGATAGAGGCCGACTAGCAACAAGTTCTTTAAAACTGCAACACAGTTGGCACCAAATTGAAAATTAAAATAAAATAACATTCCAAGTTAGTAAGAACAAATACACTACAGAAGTTAAACCAGGCCAAAGGGTGTCCACAGTATCTGAAATAAAACATTTAAAGCAAAAAGCAGGGCGGGAAAATTAAAAGGGATAGAATGGAGGAACTGTGCATTTAGACAAAAATCTTATCACCTCTACAAACCCAAATTCATTCAACATAGCAAAAAAAAAAATACATATAGGCAGCAGGGATATTAGCCAAATACATAAACTTCTACTAGTTTATTCTGCTAGAAATATTCTTACTTCAGCCAGTTCAGAAATAACAGAGGTACTGATAAAGATCCATCAGCATTGATTTCAAAAGTGCAACTTGATCGAAGAAAAATTAGAGCCAAACTTGCTTCCAAGCCTAATGTCGCATTGGCCGTATTCTCATGCGGTCTTGCTCTAGGCTTTGTTCTTTCTTTCTTCTCCTCTTTCGATGTTCTGATTATTTCTTCTTCCTGTTCTGCATCAGCAGCCCTACAAGGACAGCTATTCACCATACCATACCTTGACAAAGGGGCTTCAAGGAGGTAGTAGTTTGGGGTGGGTCAATGGGAAATGTGACAGCTAGGAGATGATGCAGACATATGCCAGCACGACAACTGCACAATATCAATTATATCACAGCCACCATTGGTGTTCCATGACAGCATTAGACCACATGGGCTCCAAATTCTAGCTATTGGGTCCATAGACATGAGGCCGAGACTACATGTGTGGTCTCATCCATAAATACCCCCACACACTTTAAGCAAGGGTTCTTCTCTCTATACCCACCATGTGGCATGAGAGTACGCACTACCACCATCCGTCCTTTCATTCCTCTCTTCTATCAACTGCTCTAAACAGGTCCCTCAGGTGTGGCTCATACAGATTCACATACCCACACCTAGAGCTCCCACAACAACAAATGACCCATGAGTCATCTATTTCCCCCAGTAAGTATTCACGAGTCATCAATAACTTAAAATAAACGACACAACAAACAATCAGTTCAAACGAAACACCCAAGAACTCATCCCACCAGACAAGATCAGAAATACCAGCCTCTGCTGCTTATAATGTTTCCAGCTGCTGGAAACATGTTGTTGTGCATCCAAAACAGATAACTACTACCATGTCTAAGCAGGCCTAACCTGGCAAACCTCAAAGGATGCAAAATAATATTTTTCATTCAGGTGGAAGCAAATCTTTCAATTCTGAGAGCTAATATTTTACAGATTAAGCAAAACACTTTATACGATAGATATAGATATACAATATAGACAGATATAGGTAGCTTTTGGCACAGATTTTACAGTGCGTCATGAATTTTTGCCCAAGAACCTTTCAATGATAGAAGATAATAGCTGGTAACAGAACTCATATCAACTACAGGGAGAACTGGACCTTTGACATCAACTTGTTGCAAAATAACTTCAGTCACAAATCTTTCAATCGAAGATAAAATATTTTAGTTAGCATTAAAATACATAGAACATATATATGTATATATCTACACACACTGTGTCTCTTTGTGTATCTAAAGGTAGGTAGCTTTTGCTTTTGGCACTGTTTTCACAACCTGTCAGATGCATTTTTGCCCCAAAACTATACCATGCTAAAAGATACTAACTTGTAACTGAAGTTGCATCAACTCCAAAGACAACTGGACCAACTTATTTACAAGAGACAGCCAGAAATTGAGTGTGAACAAATGCAAATCTCCACATAAACTAAAGTGCCCAACGTCCCTCCAACAAAAAGTTTTTTAATGACCACAAAAATCCCCACTGCGATGTGTGATAGATAAAAGAAACCAATTCCAGTCCAAAAGAAGACAAAACACACCCGTTATATTCGATAAGTTTAATACGAAGGACTTCCTCAGGCAAAGGTGCACATACTAGCATTGTTGGCAGCTGTCAGGACACATACTGATGCACGAGGATGCAACCATTTTTATCATTTCCTTTTTATCTGGATACATAAGGATCCAACCCAAAACCCCCCCCCTCTTTTTTTTTTTTACTAATATAACATCCTAGGGACACTTGCTTGAAGAAAGTCATCCTTCCATCAGCTTTAAAGCATACATTAAGAAGTTAAGGGTAGTGACATCGGCTATTGGCTATTGGCTATTGGCCTTTGTCAAAGTTTCTCCTCAATATGTTTGATCCCTTTCCAAGCCTTCCTCTTTGTCAATGATTGTGGGTTGCTCCTGTCTTGTACTACTCCAAGACCAGTTGCCTATACAACATAGTCAATTTAAGTCGGCTTTGGTTATCACTATATGCTCTCTAGTCTCTAGACAAACAATTTGATTCCAGCCCCTCCATTACTAGTACAATAGTACTCTACCTTAATAATCACATAGGCACCCCAGAACCCTACTCAGTAAAGACCCAAAAAAGAATGTGCATAATGATATTCATTAATGTGGCATCCTCAAAACTGTAAACATGCCACACGTGTTAAGAAGTTGCACCACAACAATCGCAATTTATAAACCCATGTTCAAAACCAGACAGAAGTTGAAGGGAATAAATTTCAAAGCCAGACAGGATTTTAACCACCTAACAAGTCCAGTCGCCTCTAACACGGAGATTATCTTCAACACAGTACCATAGATGTGTATGAGGGTTATTNGGGGAATAAATTTCAAAGCCAGACAGGATTTTAACCACCTAACAAGTCCAGGGGCCTCTAACACGGAGATTATCTTCAACACAGTACCATAGATGTGTATGAGGGTTATTTTCAGAGTAAATATAGAAGAAAGAAGAAGCAAAGCTGAAAACCCCAGACCAAAAGGTAAACGAATGAATAAATGGCATTCAAGATAGGAGAATCACCCTTCGAAATATCGATCCAGTTGTTGGCTGGGGTTCTCCAATATCCGTGTATAGATCATGGCAACACGGGACCACTCCTGCTGCATGCACTCATATTCAATATATTTATCCCAAAGTGGGAAAGATAGGAAGTCTGTTCCAACATAAGCCAACCCTCTTTCAAATAGCCTGAAACATGCGCAAATAAAATATAACATTAGTAGAAAAATAGGCTTAACCATTACAAGCATATCCATAAATGCTCTACAGCAGCACTCATGTCGAAGGGGAACTAATAACTCACACGAAGAGCACATGAAACTTCAANGATAGGCTTAACCATTACAAATATATCCATAAATGCTCTACAGCAGCACTCATGTCGAAGGGGAACTAATAACTCACACGAAGAGCACATGAAACTTCAAACTGAGGCATAAACACACACCGTTTACCTTCCTCGAAACACGGTTTAACTTTATGACGCTCATCTGGAATCTTTCCTGTTGCGGTTTTAGTTGCAGTACAATTGAAGTATGAGTTTAGCAATTTCAGTCTTTCAGTAGTGAAACACGATTTCAGTATTCAAGTACCAGTAAACATTCTCCGTATAACTCTAGTACTTCTTAGAGTAAGGAGATTGCCTACGATTGAGTTTAGGTAGCAAGCCATTGAGCTCAAGTACCCGCCCTTTCGGGTTTACCAGGGTTGAGCAGACGATGCAGACGATATTACAANAATAAACATTCTCCGTATAACTCTAGTACTTCTTAGAGTAAGGAGATTGCCTACGATTGAGTTAAGGTAGCAAGCCATTGAGCTCAAGTACCCGCCCTTTCGGGTTTACCAGGGTTGAGCAGACGATGCAGACGATATTACAATCGTCTTCTATTATCGTCTGTTGTCCCCATCCCAAGGGGGCGCTCAGTAGCAACCTCTCTTTGCAACCTATACCTCTAAAGTAGGGTTCTTGCCTTTCTTTTCTAGTTGGAAACTATGCATCGTGAACTGCAACGCTCATTGAACCCTTTCTTGCTTGGGCGTCTGCCCCTTCTTTCTATTCTCTAATCTCGAATGGCAACTTAAGGTCTCCTATTTCACTTTCACCAGCCATTAGAAACTCTAATCCACTTTCATTTAAAGGCAAGCAAGAAAGGTAGAAGGGGGGTTTGCTCCCATTTCGGGGTTCTCTTGTGGACTGACCTTTGCTTGTGGAGTTAGCAGGAATAGAGGTTGGAGAAAACCGATGTCCACAAAAGGGAGTAGTAATATAGGCCACCTTAGCCTTTCTGGCCAAGATATTCTCAGCAGCAATTGGTATATTGAGGCCACTCAATTTGTCATAGATCAAAACAGTAAAAATTCATGGAGAACTATGTTGGAAATATAGCAGCCTAGTTTATTAGAGTTTATTAAGTTTTTCCCTTTTTACCTTATTGTAACTTTCATTGGCTATATATACGGGGGCTCTACACTTAGTTTGTATCCCTTTTAACTCACATATTTCTCTAGTTGGTATCAGAGCCAAAATCCTAACCCAACCCTAACCATAAGCCTAGCCTTCTATTCCTCATTGCAGCCTACCGCCACCACAAACCAGCCACACCACGACCACTGCGCAACCGAGGCAACCACAGCCCAGCCACCATCACAACTGACTGCCCAGCAGACCACCGCAACTCAGCCACACCACGACCACTGCACAACCGCAGCAACCACAGCCCAACCACCATCACAACCGACTGCCCAGCAGACCATCGCAACTCAGCAAACCAAAACCCAGTGACAGCCATAAAGCACCAACCGACCAGTCTGCCAAACCAGTCCAACAAGCACCGACTGCCTACCAAAATAATAGATTCCAACCAATATACATAAGGCACCGACTGCCCCACCAAACTCAAAATCCCAACCCAATAAATTAAACCACTATATCAACCCACGAAGCCTAGCCGACTGACCTAGTATCCCTTAAACCCAACATATCAGTTCAACTGACTGCCTACACCAAATCGACTGCAAAAAAAAAAAAAAAAAAAAAAAAAAAAAAACCAATAACCCAAACCCAGACTAGCCATATTAAATCAATAATCCAAATCCAAACCCAAACCTGCCAAGACCACCAAAACAACAGCCTGTTATAAACAACAGTAAAAAAACCAATAAAGCAGCCAAACGACTTATACCCTTGACCCAAAATAAAAACTGGACCCAGTGACCCACTGCCCAACCCAGCGACCTACACACTGTCCCAGTCCAGCCTCACACCCAACACAGAACCCACTCTAGCAAACAAGCCCACTGTTGGGTTGCACTCGTCATCATAGTATCGTGTTTTGCCTTCGTGCGTCTGATTATTTAGGACCGTAGGACCTTTTTAAGTGGAGTTGAATCCTGTTCTCCGTTGATATGCTCCTGATGCAGTAGATCATTTATTTATATTTGTTGAATTTCTAGACACCATGACCTGATTATTTGAGAGCTTTCTAAAGCTTCTTTTTCTGTCACTACTATTTCACTGGAGGTATATTATTCTCCCTTATTTTATCCCTCTATTTATCTTAAGAGTTATTTTTCTATCACGAATGCCCTAGTATTATTATTGATATGACTACTACTGAGGGACTTGAGACCCTTACTGTTGACACTTCTATCGTTGAGACATCTATTGGTACTTACACTTTTATGTTTGACCAGTATACAGTACTTACTGGCATAGTGGCATTACCAAAACTGCTAGGCATGATCTCTCAGAAAGTTACGACACAGTTGTTGAATGGCCGTAACTTCGCTGAGTGGTCTCGCTCATTCCAGCTTTTCTTAGACCGTGTAGGGAAGCTTGGTTGGCTGACGGGATCTCACCCAAAATCAGTTGATACCGACCCTAGATATTCTGTATGGTTCTCTGAGAACTACGCTATTCTTGGATGATTATTTGGCTCGATGAAGCCATCTATTTACAGGATTCACCAGTTCATAGTTCTGTTCCGAAGCTATAAAGCGCATTATCAGATATGTATTCCCAGTCAGGACGAGGAGTACGTGTTTATGAGCTTTCTCAAGAGCTCTGATATGCTTGGCAGGGAGATATGACCATTCAGAATTATTACGGCTATTTGACCCAGCGCTAGCTTGAGTATGAGACTCTACGTCCTCTTACTGCTATTTTGAAGATAGAGCCCGAGGGATCAGCTTTCTTGCATCCTTGAGAACAAGAGAATAGGATTCACAAGTTCCTTATGAGGCTTCGTGATGAGTTTGAGGAACCTCGTTTTCAGATCTTGTCGATGTTGACGCTTCCTTCTCTATATGAGGTTTATGCATTGATTGAGCAACATGAGCACCGTGTCCGTATTGCATCACTTCCAGTTGCGGCCTTGACTCCTCCGGCTGATCATATGACCTTTGCAGCTGCTGCAGGGTCTCGTTCAGGATCCTCAATCAGGTGTGGGCAGCGCTCGGACCAGCGCCGTCAGGGTGCTCCAGATCAGCGCAGACATGGGGGTTCTCGTCAGTGTGATTATTGTAGCCGACCAGGACACCTCAAGACTACTTGCTGGAAGCTCCATCCAGAGCTTAAGTCGCCTCTTCGCAGTCGTATTGCTACTATTGCTGAGGTACCATCACCTACTACCGCTACTTCTCTTCCTTGGCAGAGTGATATGAATGTTATCAATTACCGATTGGATATACTTATATCCGCTCTGACTTCTCAGAGTCCGACCATTGCTACTGCCACCACTACAGGTATACCTCGTGCATTTCATGTTTGTGACAGTCCGTCTCCCATTTGGATGCTGGACTCAGGTGCGAATGGTCACATGATAGGTGAGGCCCATCACTTCACCACTTTTGATGAGAAGTGACATACACAGGTTCAGTTAGCAGATAGGACACATGCCCCTATTGTTAGTATGGGTACAGTCCGCCTCCTAGATGGCTTTACATTATGTTCAATTTTTCATGCGCCAAAATTGGTCATGAATCTATTATTTGTACATTAGTTAGCCAGAGATTTTAACTGTGCGATTATGTTTTTATCTGATTCGTTTTATTCGCAAAACCTAAGTACCAGGAGGATTATTATCAGGGGACATGAGAGAGATAGATTGTATTATCTAGGCGATCCACCTCCAATTTCACCAGTTCCTCCACCGACATCACCTACACCTGTTTTGTCTTTATTTGTTCCTAACTTGCATGCTAGTATTTTACCTAATAGTTGTTATGATTTTTCATCACAAACTATTTAGTTGTGGCATAATCGTTTTGGACATACAAATTTTAAATATTTATGATTTTTTGTCACAAACTGTTTAGTTGTGGCATAACTATTTTGGACATACAAATTTTAAATATTTATGTATGTTGTGTTCTGCTTTGAACAATGCTTGTGTTGGTGGTAAACTTGACTGTGTTATATGTTCATTATCGAAAAATGTTAAGACTAGTTATATTCCTCGCATGCACCAGGCACCCAAGCCATTTGACCTAATACACTATGATATTTGGGGACCCTCTCCTGTTACTGCTCTGTCAGGTACTCGATATTATGTGACATTTATAGATGACCGTACTCGTTGTACTTGGGTCTACCTTTTACATAGTAAGTTCGATGTAGTCCCTATAATCACTCAATTTTTACAGATGATTAAGACACAATTAGATGTTATTGTTCGTGCTCTTCATTTAGATAATGCCAAAGAATGTGTCTGATGCCTTAGTGTTTCACCTTTCTTCTCAGGGTATTCTTTAGCAACTCACTTGTCTATATACTCCTGAGTAAAATAGCGTTACTGAAAGGAAAAATAGGAGTCTAATAGGAATGTTACGTTATATGCTTAAAGACATGGGAGTACCAAAATCTTTTTGGCATTTTGCTATTTTAACTTTTACTTTTCTGTACAATCGTACGTCGAGTCGTATTCTTCAGCATTGGGCTCCCTTATAGGTCTTATTTTCTGAGCGAACACTTTTTTCAGTCCCCCTTCGTGTTTTTGGATGCACATATTTTGTTCAGGATTGGTCTCCTACTCGTCATAAGCTTGATGATAAAGTGATTCGTTGTTTTTGTGGGCCATTGTCATCAGTCTAAGGGGTATCAGNACTCGTCATAAGCTTGATGATAAAGTGATTCGTTGTTTTTGTGGGCCATTGTCATCAGTCTAAGGGGCATCAGTGTTATGATTCTGTTAGGCACCGTATGTATCACAGTCTAGATGTTACATTTCTTGAGCATATTCCTTATTTTTCTTCCAATCTTGTGTTTGCCCCTCCAGTTGATGATACTCCCTTAAATTTTTCATTACCACCGAAACCAGACCCATTGGTCACTATCACTACAGACTCACCAGTCTCTCCTCCAGAGCCACTCATCCCTCTCGGTACAAAGTCACCAATCTCTCTTCCTTTGTAGGTTTATGTTCGTCGCCCTGGCTCTCATCCCCCTGTTGATGTCCCCTCTACCTCAGGCGATACAGGTAATAATTTTTAGTTCGTTGAGCATATTGATGCACCTGTTGTTAGTGTTGATGAGATTGTTGCTTTACCTAATGAGACATTGTTAGTGGAGGATGATGACTTAGGGCGTCGTTATCCGCAGCGTGATCGTCGTCCAGTTGTTCGTTATGGTTGGACCACCAAAATTTTATATCCGATCTCTGCTTATGTTTCTTATGGCGATCTGTCTTCTATATTTCGAGCTTATAATATGGTCTTATCAGATACACCGGTTCCTCGCTCTGTTTTAGAGGCCATGCGCGGGAGCCTGAGTGGGTTCTTGCCATGCAAACGGAGATGGATGCTCTTCAGCGTCATCATATGTGGGATCTTGTCTCTTTAACTTCAGGGGTGAAGTCTGTTGGCTGTCGCTAGATTTATACCCTGAAGTTTCTTGTGAATGGTACTATTGATCGTCACAAGGCTAAACTTGTGACAAAGAGCTTTACTCAGGTACCAGGTCGTGATTTTGGTGCTACCTTTGCCCCCATGGCAAAATTGACTACTGTTCGATTGATTATTTATCTAGCTGCAGAGTACTCTTGGCCTCTTCATCAGTTGGATGTGAAGAATGCATTTCTTCACGGTGATCTGGACGAGATTATTTATATGGATGCACCACCGGGCTTTCGTGGTGAGGGGGAATATGCTGGAAAGGTATGTCGACTGCGTAAGTCTCTTTATGGACTGAAACAGTAACCACGAGCCTAATTCTCTTGCTTTAGTGATGTAATTGTACGTTTAGGATTCACCAGATGTCATTCTGATCATACTTGCTTCATTTGACGGAATACTTCTAGATAGTGTGTCATCCTTTTGGTATATGTTGATGATATTATTATTACTGCAAATGATGTTTCTGGGACTGCGCAGGTCAAGATAGACCTTAGAAAGGCCTTTGATGTGAAGGACCTTGAATTTTTGCGAAATTTTCTTGGAATTGAGGTTGCCCGTAGCAGCAGGGGTATTGTTCTTTCTCAGAGAAAATATGTTTTGGATCTTCTCTCAAACACTGAGATGCTGAGGTGCAAACCAGCATCATCACCCATGATTCCAAACCTGAAGCTTACTGCTGAAGACGAGGAGTTGAGAGATCCGACTGTCTATCAGAGGTTAGTAGGTAAACTTATCTACCTAGCCAACACTAGGCCAGACATTTCTTTCGCTGTCAGCCGAGTTAGTCAATTCATGCACTGACCATGTCAGCCTCATCTTGATGCAGTTTATCATATTCTTCAGTACCTCAAGTCTTATCTTAGACTTAGGTTGTTTTATGCATCAGGATCTCAGACTAGTTATCTAGCCTGTTATTCAGATTTAGATTATGGGGGAACGTGTGATGATCGATCTACTACGAGCTTTTATGCTTTTCAAGGGACTCATCTTATCTTTTGGAAGAGCAAGAATCAGTCAATTGTTTCTCACTCGTCAACAGAAACAGATTATCGGACACTTGCACTTGGCACATGTGAAATTATCTGACTACAATCGATTCTTAGCGAGTTGGGATTTCCAGTGACTTCTTCATCTACAGTATATTGTGATAATCGATCTGCTATTCAGCTCACTTCTGACTCTGTATTACACAAAAGGACGAAGCATATAGAGATCGATGTTCACTTTCTTCAGGAGAAGGTTAGCAGTGGTATTGTCACTCCATCGTTTGTGGGAACCAGTGATTAGGTTGCAGATGTTTTCACCAAATCTGTCACTCTATCCATTCTTCAAGACTCCGTTGTCAAACTTGACTTAGTTTATATTTTTGCGCCTAACTTGAGGGGGAGTGTTGAAAATATAGCAGTCTAATTTATTAGGGTTTATTAAGTTTTTCCCTTTTTACCTTTTTACCTTTTTACCTTTTTACCTTATTGTAACTTTCATTGGCTCTATATACGGGGACTCTACACTTAGTTTGTATCCCTTTTAACACACACATATTTCTCTAGTAACTACATGCACTATGACACAGCCCTAAGCAGAAAAATGAAAGGGAAGGGGAATGGTGAGGCCATAAAACAGAATCAAACCCGAAAGAAACTTAAACAGCTCCCAATACAGTAGCTATAAAATCAGTGCTTGCACATCAATAAAACTGTTTTTCTGAGGTGCATCCCCAAAATGCTTTTATACCATCCATTTGGCTAATAGCGGTTGCACACATACTGAAATCAGGTTGGAAAGCAATAAAGATCACAAGAGCCCTGTGACAATGAGAAAATCATGCAATGACGATATTCCCAAGAACCACTATGATAATCAAATCAATAAGCAGAAATTACCTTCTGATAGTGTCAGGATCTTGGTATGTGCTAATGGAAAATATACAGTAGTGGAGCCACATATCCACAGAATAGGTCACCCCTTGAATCGCTCGCTCATAGACCTCTACAACATTCTCAATGGACCCCAGATGTGCCTCATAATCTGCATACTTCTTCCAATAACCATAACACAAAGGAAATTCCGCCAAAAAAGCATCATAAACTTTCCGTATCTTCGAAATGTTGTCCTGTGAATGACCCAAAGAGGAGGGAAAAAAGAAAAAGAAAAGGTTATGATGCCATTTCTAGTGGGGCCCACAGATCACCAACAAAAAATAAATAAATAAATAAAATAAGAAGACATCACTCTCTCAAAAGAGGGAGTTCACTCAAGCAAGAAAGACAGCCCCTTGAATGGCCAATGAATATAAAAAACGAAATTAAACAGAAACTTCAGGACATATAACAAGTGACTTAAAAATCCCACACTGGAAATATTTCTGATACTAGTCTTTGATGAGATGCACAACCGAGACCACACCCCCAAAACAGCATAGCTACAGAAACTAGAAGCTGCTAATACTCATTCATCCAGAATGATAGAAACAGATTATACAGACTTTGATAAAACTTGTAAACAGGAAGCAACAGCAACCATTAAGGGAGCGAACTGACCACTCATAAAACGCTTAAATTTATATATCATGTCTACATAAGGGAATTCTTTTGCTTCATTCCTTATTACAGTTTTGGACTTGGAGCCGTACTCAGCATTGAGAAAATTCAACATTAAAATTAAGAAAGATTTATCCAACTAGCCTTCGTAACATATCCATGCCGGTTTTTCTGACATCAGCATAGATAAATCAATAAAAAAATGCAGAATGCAGATTTGCATTACATAACACTGTGACTCAAACTTCTCTCTAAGTACGCATCTAAAAAGAAATAATATGCATCCTGAAAATTTTATATTTAACCACGTGGTCAACAGAACAGAAGACTGAACAAAGTCAATTTTCCATTCAACATTAGAAAATTCTCTATAACAATACCTCTGCAGTCCTCTCTGTCTCTTCTATTAAGGCAGTCCATGCAATAAAATCTAGAGAATTTATTCTCACAATGCTCCACAACCGCTCCTCTTCAGCAGACAATGCTGTCAAAAAAGTGTTGGAAGAAAATGTCACAAACAAAAAGCATAATAAATTTACGTAAAACAAATATGTGGCTGAATTTTTTAGCAGACAAAACATATTCAACAGTGAATGTCCACTGGTTTGCCTAAACTATTTAATTAAGTAAAGTGATTGAGAGAAAGATAAGAAACCTACAGCTCCGAGGCACTCACGAGAGAGAGAGAGAGAGTNCTCATAAAACGCTTAAATTTATATATCATGTCTACATAAGGGAATTCTTTTGCTCATTCCTTATTACAGTTTTGGACTTGGAGCCGTACTCAGCATTGAGAAAATTCAACATTAAAATTAAGAAAGATTTATCCAACTAGCCTTCGTAACATATCCATGCCGGTTTTTCTGACATCAGCATAGATAAATCAATAAAAAAATGCAGAATGCAGATTTGCATTACATAACACTGTGACTCAAACTTCTCTCTAAGTACGCATCTAAAAAGAAATAATATGCATCCTGAAAATTTTATATTTAACCACGTGGTCAACAGAACAGAAGACTGAACAAAGTCAATTTTCCATTCAACATTGGAAAATTCTCTATAACAATACCTCTGCAGTCCTCTCTGTCTCTTCTATTAAGGCAGTCCATGCATTAAAATCTAGAGAATTTATTCTCACAATGCTCCACAACCGCTCCTCTTCAGCAGACAATGCTGTCAAAAAAGTGTTGGAAGAAAATGTCACAAACAAAAAGCATAATAAATTTACGTAAAACAAATATGTGGCTGAATTTTTTAGCAGACAAAACATATTCAACAGTGAATGTCCACTGGTTTGCCTAAACTATTTAATTAAGTAAAGTGATTGAGAGAAAGATAAGAAACCTACAGCTCCGAGGCACTCACGAGAGAGAGAGAGAGAGTAGCTTATGATATATAGTCAACCACCAACCAATAGCTACTTCATGGAACTATACTACCAAATAAATGAACCTAAACCTAACAAAACCCCTAAATCCTTTGTAAGCTAAGTGGTTCAAAAGCAATTCATAAAGTTGTGTGAATTGTGAACAATTACTATTTTGACCAAAAGATATACTCTCTCTGATGAAGATAGATAGATTGATACTCATAGGTTGAACATCGTAGCTCTGAAAATAGTATTGTGTGCAGAAACAATTCTACTGAATCAATGTCAAAAAAAATTGTATGAAATAGATTGTCTTCCCACAAAAAAAACATAAAACAAATACAAAGGAAGGGTTGTGACAAACTTCCAATGCCAACCTTGCAACAGTCTCAATTTTCACAGCAGAAATTTTGTTAGAATTGCAAACATAACAAGGCACTTCAAAAGAGTCTGGTTCCTGCACCTTTCAAACAAGAAAGGAGAAAAATGCACGCATATGCATAAAAATGCTTCTTCACTTCACAGAAATCAGAGAGAGAACTCAGAGGGGAGGGGGAGATGAATATACAAATGGCATGACTAACATTAGATACTGGCCTTGAAGGCACAATGTAACATCTGCTTTAATAAATTCAATGAGACAAATGGTCCTGTTGCAAAAATAAGAAGATCCAAAAAGGATTTTGATCATCAGACGAACAAAAATATATTTAGAAAAAAAAAAATCAAATATACAAGAAGAGCATTGGGCCATGCTTTCTGGGAAATTCAAAAAAAAATTACTGCAATCAAATCTCAGGAAAAAGGAATGGTATTCACAGTCAATTCCTAGTAGCACCTGATGGCTGGAATTCTGAAAAGACAAANGTAATTACATGACGACAAACTTAGTTGGCTTAGACCTTATACCAAAAATCTCAAAATTTTGCTCAACATGGTTTGACAAGATTCAGTACCCATGTCCTCACAAAATGACATTAAAGAGAAGGGGGAGGAGAAGTTAGAAGGAACTAGGGGTACAACTCAGCCGAGTTGAGAAGTCAACCCTAACCCAACCCTAAATATATAATCTTCGACCCTAACCCTAACTCTAATCCTACCTCAACCTGAGGTATTCAACCCGATTACTGCCCGAGTTTAATTCGAGCGGGCTCAAGTTGACTTCGGAGTACTTAATTCGAGCTAATTTCAAGTTACAAATTGGGTTGGTCTTGGGTTACTTAATTCGGGTTGATTTTTTGAAATATTGATCTAATTTTTTCAAGTAATCTGATATGAAGGGTGAGAAAGGAGGAGTAACGAGTGAGAGAGGGAAGTTGAGAGTCTAAGACTCAGACGAGTAACGATTGAGAGATAGATCTGAGAGTGCTGGAAGTGCAGGGGTGAAGACATGAAATGAAATGAAAGTCTGGACTCTAAAGAGTAAAGATAAATATTAACCCTAATTAAATATATTTATATATTTATGTATATTCAGGTTTAACCCAATTTTAATATTCGGGTTGAACCCGACAACCCAAGACCTTAACCGAAGCTTGCTCAAATTCAATTCGGATTGAGGTTTTTTATTCAGACCCAACCCAAATATTAAAAATTCTAACCCAAACCTTGATATTTTTTTGGGTNCAAAAAAAAATTACTGCAATCAAATCTCAGGAAAAAGGAATGGTATTCACAGTCAATTCCTAGTAGCACCTGATGGCTGGAATTCTGAAAAGACAAAAAATGAAGTGTTCCAAAATCTAAATTACTGTTCCAGTGTAACAAGGCTAAAAATATGCTAGTGACATCACCACTGAAGCAAGGAAAATATTATATTTACCAAGTTTTTTTGATGCCGTAATTAAAAAACATAAAAATTTCAAAACCACTTTTGGGCCCCTTCTTGGGATAGACTACTTCATTCAAAGTATTCAGTCCTCACGGATTCAACAGCAGAACTGAGTATGTATTGATTACAGTGTTTGCTTACATACATTGAAACTCATGAACTATCAAGTATAATATGATGGCAAAACTTAATGAAGGCATTGCTGGATTCAACCACAGCAGATTTCCTTAAACACTCGAGTAATTTAGTTTGTATTTCTTTAATAGAGTTTATAGACTTGCTTATTCCCAAATTGATTAATTTAATTGCAGTTACCATGTTGGAAGAGGAAAAAATAGAAATCACAATAACTGAATAACATATCCATGCACAAACATGTGATAGACAAGAGAGGGATATACCAGCACCCTCCACCAATTGGTACATCGAAGCAGATCCATGCACACTATTCGAATTAATCGCGTTCTCATTTATACCCGCTGACACTATATTTTTTGCTTCGTTAACATTATTACCATTTACAGAAGAGTAATAAGCAGTGCATTGAGATGAATCCACAGATGCATTTGCAATCCCCATAAGATTCTCGTTGGCATCATATGTAGTCATAGTAGGAGCATCATGTTCGGAAGAATTTGGATCTATATGGCATTCATTTCCATCACCTACATCAGAAACATAAGCCCCAGCATCAGCTGCATCCATTGTAACCAAGTCTGCAGTTGCAGTTGCAGTTGAATTTGGAGCAGCAGAAGCAGCAAGATCTCCATCCGATCCAACAGTGGAAGCACCACCATCAGGAACGGCAGTTGTGCTAATACCACCATAATCAGTAGAAGAATAGCCAGCAGGTGTATAATCCATGACAACAGATGCTTGGGCAATCATAGCTTCACTATCGCCCATCCTACTGGAAGAAACTGTGTGAGGAACACTCAAAAAGCTGTAAGATTATAGAGAGTTTGTTACTGAGATGTGAAACCACAAAGAAACCATGGTAATAGATGAGATCGCAATCCTGAAACTACAATTTTTTTCCCTTTTTTAAATAAGTGATCATGCAGTTGTAAAATTAGACATATGAACAGTTCAAATTAAATAAGTTTTGATCGCTAACATTGCATTCATGAACAGAAGAGTATGAATATCAGTCAACGCATGTCAACACNAAGTTGTAAAATTAGACAAATGAACAGTTCAAATTAAATAAGTTTTGATTGCTAACATTGCATTCATGAACAGAAGAGTATGAATATCAGTCAACGCATGTCAACACTCGCTAAAACAATATTCCACAGTCATTTAATGGAAAAGCTAGTAAAAACAGTTATTCAAGCTTATTTTAATGCTTATTCNACTCGCTAAAACAATATTCCACAGTCATTTAATGGAAAAGCTAGTAAAAACAGTTATTCAAGCTTATTTTAATGCTTATTCAGGTCATCAGGCATAAAATGGGGCAGGTGGATTCATTAGTGGTTTTTTATAGGACTATCAGTGTATTTCATTGAATTTATTTCTCATGATTAATCATAGCATTTCTAGATGATCAACTCTACTGTTGAACAGTGAGGAAAGCATGCACCAGCATTCATGACATGAGGCAGAGTTTTATTGTAGGGTCAACAAAAGAAGCAATTATTAATCCCATTTTCTTGATGCTTATTACATTCTAAATAACACAACATGCCTAGATAAAGTTTCCATCCTTTAAGGAGTTCCAAGCCAGAGGGAATACCTGTACGTAATTACATGACGACAAACTTAGTTGGCTTAGACCTTATACCAAAAATCTCAAAATTTTGCTCAACATGGTTTGACAAGATTCAGTACCCATGTCCTCACAAAATGACATTAAAGAGAAGGGGGAGGAGAAGTTAGAAGGAACTAGGGGTGCAACTCAGCCGAGTTGAGAAGTCAACCCTAACCCAACCCTAAATATATAATCTTCGACCCTAACCCTAACTCTAATCCTACCTCAACCTGAGATATTCAACCCGATTACTGCCNCCTAAATATATAATCTTCGACCCTAACCCTAACTCTAATCCTACCTCAACCTGAGATATTCAACCCGATTACTGCCCGAGTTTAATTCGGGCGGGCTCAGGTTGACTTCGGAGTACTTAATTCGAGCTAATTTCAAGTTACAAATTGGGTTGGTCTTAATTCGGGTTGATTTTTTGAAATATTGATCTAATTTTTTCAAGTAATCTAATATGAAGGGTGAGGAAGGAGGAGTAACGAGTGAGAGAGGGAAGTTGAGAGTCTAAGACTCAGACGAGTAACGATTGAGAGATAGATCTGAGAGTGATGGAAGTGCAGGGGTGAAGACATGAAATGAAATGAAAGTCTGGACTCTAAAAAGTGAAGATAAATATTAACCCTAATTAAATATATTTATATATTTATATATATTCAGGTTTAACCCAATTTTAATATTCGGGTTGAACCCGACAACCCAAGACCTTAACCGAGGCTTGCTCAAATTCAATTCGGATTGAGGTTTTTTTTTCAGACCCAACCCAAATATTAAAAATTCTAACCCAAACCTTGATATTTTTTTGGGTTGGACTTAGGCTAAATTTGGGTTAGCCCTCCCAAGTTGCACCCTTAGAAGGAACAAAGAACTAAAATGCCAAATGAAACTTCCATTTATGGCATTTTTTTTTCCCTGAGGGTTGATTATCTGTTCTGCTTAGCCTTTTACTGCCAGCACACCAACCACTACTGTTTATAAAGTTAAAGTACGAAGCAAAGAGAGTTATTTGGCAATTCTACTCAAAATGGAACGGGATATTAGTTTTCATTAACGTTTAAATCTGTCTGTACTGGTTTTTGCAGTTTCTATGTACATTAGAAAATATAATCATGGACCGAAGCATGGGCTGCCACAGTGAGATTTTTGTCTAGGTTATATGAGCACTCGATCAGCACTGCAAGCTTCAAGAAGGTCGAAGAGACAAATATCTGATGAGATACAGTTGAAACAATAAGAACAACCTAGGTGCTGTGAAAGACATAAAATATGTGAAGCATGGGGTTGACAAATAGCAGACGAGTGGAAAAATCCGCACAAAGTTCTCATATAGAGAGTAAATCTTAATATAAGCAAGCCCTCGCAACATTTTGGAACAAGTCATGGATAACATGCTTCACAGTCTTTCTCTAAATCCTCCCCGTAATAATGACAGTCAAGGTTAGTATACGAAAATCAATCAGACTTCCCATGCTATAACAGTCGCACATAGAATAAAGGCCCAACAAACCCCATCGTAAAGACACGAAGGATCCAACAACTGAACTAAAACAGTGGTGACTCAACACACAGCAAAGAACTAGGGCTTCGGACACTAAACCCTGGTGCAACAGATTAATGTAAAGAAGACAAAGAAAAAAGGTATTGCAAATTAAACACAGAATTGAAATACTTCAACATGAGTGTCTCTATACACACGTGTTCATATCGAGAACTCGATCGGCGAAACATACCTGAACTGAGAGAGAAGGCAGCAAGAGATCGCCGAAAGATTCGAGAGCCTTCGTAGTGAAAAAAGTTCTGGAGGGTTTTGTTTTGAGTTTTTTGGGGGCTTCCTAGCCGTTTAGTTGAAGCGGAGAGAGAGAGAACGTGGGGGTGGGAGCAGTGAATTGATGCTGTTTATATAGGTGGTGAAACAGGCACTGGGCCTGGGCCACTCTCAAAAGGCATTAACCTGAATCGGTGTATAATGGCGATCGGGTGCGGTATTATTTGGTCTCTTTTCAAATCCGTTCTGTTCGAACGGTGCGGATCTGAACCTCCTCACAAGGGTAAATATTGAAGGCAACCTTTTGTTTGGTTTTTTATTTTTATTCCAACAGATAATATAATAAGATACTAATTAAAAATTTTTTAAGAAAAATTTAAATTTTTAATTTTATTTTTATTTTAATAAATGATATAATATAACATAAATTTTAATTATAAAATTTAAAATATTTGATATTTTATATTTGATTGGAGTATTTTTTGTCTAAATATNTTTTTTTAAGAAAAATTTAAATTTTTAATTTTATTTTTATTTTAATAAATGATATAATATAACATGAATTTTAATTGTAAAATTTAAAATATTTGATATTTTATATTTGATTGGAGTATTTTTTGTCTAAATATAATATTTTTAACTTGAGAAGTCTAAATATTACATACCTCAAAACTTTAAAGAGTCTGAGTATAATTTACTAACGGAANATAATATTTTTAACTTGGGAAGTCTAAATATTACATACCTCAAAACTTTAAAGAGTCTGAGTATAATTTACTAACGGAACACATTTATGACAAATGTCTAAGTGTTATACGCATAGAAATCTTGAGGGGTTTGTATATAATATTTTAAATATCATGAATTTAAATGATTAAGTGACAAATCTCAAAAAATATAGATGTAAATCTCCCTATTTTTAATTCACAATTTGAAATCTGATTAAAACATCTTCAATTAATATGATGCGCACGGTTAGTAGATGAATCACATACATCCTGAGTTTATCTATGATGTACAAAGTATTCAAATAAACTTGATTGGGACTATTGTTCAATATTAAAAAATAGATAAAGGACANGTAGAAATCTTGAGGGGTTTGTATATAATATTTTAAATATCATGAATTTAAATGATTAAGTGACAAATCTCAAAAAATATGGATGTAAATCTCCCTATTTTTAATTCACAATTTGAAATCTGATTAAAACATCTTCAATTAATATGATGCGCATGGTTAGTAGATGAATCACATACATCCTGAGTTTATCTATGATGTACAAATTATTCAAATAAACTTGATTGGGACTATTGTTCAATATTAAAAAATAGATAAAGGACAATTTTTTGTTTGAACTATGTGACATTCGTAGTGTTTAGAAATATAGAGCAAAAAATTGTTTCATAGAAAGTCAAATATGTTTGATAGTATGAAACTTTTAATCGAATAGAACACCAAGCTAGCTTTCACTTGTGTCTCTTGGGCTAGAGAAAATATTAGGTGTAACCATTATACCATGTCAACAACATGATATAAAAAGACAAAATATGATTCACTTTTTATCATAGAGGTGCTTATATATTACATAACTAAGTGATTCGGAGNTAATCGAATAGAACACCAAGCTAGCTTTCACTTGTGTCTCTTGGGCTAGAGTAAATATTAGGTGTAACCATTATACCATGTCAACAACATGATATAAAAAGACAAAATATGATTCACTTTTTATCATAGAGGTGCTTATATATTACATGACTAAGTGATTCGGAGTTTTAATGGAATCCATTTGATGATTTATTTACTTATTAGCGAACGGTTACACCATATGACACTGATAAAGTGGTATAACGGTTGATGATGCACAAAATAGTCTCTTGCAAGATCAACAGTCGAGTGCGTAATAAGGTATAATTAATGAACAATAAATAAAGTAATCAATGACAACAGTGTAAATATTTAGTCAACACAAAAATATATAGTAGTTCGGTCTGAGTGACCTACTCCATTATAGGAAATGACAACGGTGGGGGGTCTTTATTCACGAAATAGGGTGAACGGGAGAGGGAGTTAGGAGAGAGAAGCTATTTGTGTGTAGAGAGATGTAAATAAGTGTGGTTAAATGCCTTCTCAATGGAGAGAGTTTACAATTTATAGGCATGAAGCCCTTAGGTGAAGCGGTGACGTGAGGGTAAATACACTAATTTTTCGGGGAGGATAGTTACAAAAGGTATAATTATGATAGTCTTGATATTTGAGAGTAAGTATTCCGATAATCTCTCTCCATGTGCTCTTTTCTTTACGGACTCCTTGGATCTTGGACTGGATCGGATTGACGAATTGGACTTGACCTGCCTCTTAGCTGACTTGAGCTTACTTGA